CACTCACAACAAGGTTTCATCAAAATCCATCAAGAATTGTGCCTTCTAGAGTGTTTACGAGCTAAAATTGAACGCGTTTTCAAGAACAAGGGCAATAACTAATACTAAATATTTTTCAATTTTTCTGATTTTCGATAGGGTTCATCCGTGGATGATTACGAACACTTATACCAAGTTTCATAAAAATCTGTCACGAATATCACCTTCTAGATTGTTTACGAGCGTTTCAAGAACAAGGGCAATAACTCATAGTAAGTATTTTTGGATTCGTCTGATTTTCAATAGGGTTCATCCTTGGGTGATTACAAACAACCATACCAAGTTTCATCGAAATCAGTCAAGAATTGTACCTTGTAGAGTGTTTACGAGCAATTGTGGACGGACGGACGGACCGACAGACGGAATGAGTTGACGGCAATATACGCCTCCCATCTCATGTGGGCGTATAAAAATGAAACCAGACACTTTAGTCAAGAAAATAATAGAAGCTATTGAAACAGCTTCACCAACTGTAATAACTTTCAACGGTAAAAAAATCAACATAACTAAAAAACTTATTGATAAATACAAATATTGTAAAGTCAGAGATGATATAGACTTTGAAAGAATTAACACAAATGCAAAAGATGGTGGATTTTTACCTTTCCTACCTTTGATATGTGCTGGTCTTATCGCTGCTGTTGCTGGTGGTACTGCTGCCAATGAAGATAAAGCCTCTGCAGTAAAAGCTGCCAAAGAACATAATTTAATAATGGAAAAGGAAGCAAAGAAATTAGCTCTTGCAAAAAAAAAAGGTTCAGGAGTGGCAGATATATTAGGTAAAGTTAAAGAATTTGGAAAACGTTTTGGGGAAGAAACCAAGAAAACCGTTAAAGACGGATTAAACACTATCATAGCTCGACACGGAAGAAATGAAAGTCAAACATAAGGGTAATGGAATATTTTTAAAAAACATTCACATAGTAGAAGGAATTATTTCTTTCAAAGTATAAAGGAGAAAGAGTGATTTTTGGAACAAAAATATAGAATAAAAATGGGAAAGAAATTCAAACATTCAGAAATATTTCCTAGTAACCTAATGCTTATGTGTATTTGTGGAAGTTCCGGTTCTGGGAAAACTCATCTCACTTTTGACATGTTGTCAACACCAAACCTTTTAGATTTCAATTCTCTCTATATCTACACAACAACACCAGAGCAATCATATTATTAATTCCTCAAAGCTTTAGAATATTTACCAAAGAAAGATGTTCAAGACATATTTCAATATTATGAAGAAAATGAAGAAGAAGAAGTAGAAATAAAAGTTATCATAGATAACTACATTAAAGCAAAGAATCCATCTTTCTATCCAACGGACATTGAAGTTTTTCTTACGAAAAATGTTAATGATCTAGACTTGTCGAAAGAACTTAATATTGTTTGACGACTGTGTAGCACAAAGAAATCAAGCTGTTCAACAAGAATTCTTCATGATTTTCAAAGGAATAACCCAAGCATATCTCGTATACAAATCTATAACTGTTAAGCAATAATTATATCCTCTTTCGACTGGCAAATACTTTAACTTTTGAAAAGTTTTTAGTTTTTCTAAATTCTTTATGAATTTCATCTGCTAAACCCATACCCAATTTCATCTTTGCTTTTAACAGTTTATGATCAGAGCCCTTTGCATTCTCTCTTTGAAAGTTGGATTTGGAATATTTTCAAGTTCGATTATCATTTGTCTGTCTGCTTCATGTCTAAACTTTATGTCTTTATTTCTGTATAAAATATCATGTTTAAGCGCAGCGGCATCAACTCTATTGACTGGTACTTCACCCGGTTTTGGTTTATCGTTTTCGTATAATCGCAGATCTAGACTAGTACCTGGACCAGTATAATTATGACCGGGGAAATGTTTTTCTCCAGGATATTTTTCCCACGGAAATCCATGATTTTTGTATATCTCCTGCACCAAAATAAGTTTTTGGAGGGTGAGCGACTATCATTTTTATCCTTTAACTTTAAAACCTTTTCCTTTACTTTCTTCTAATCTCCTGTTACGCAGATCTCTTATTAGTTGTAATTCTTTCAACTCGTCAGATTGTTTCACTGCGTCGCTTATACTCTTTCCCGCTTGCGCGACAGATCCTATAGCTTTCACTTCGGATGAAATAAGTGATTTGTTGTTTGAAACAAAGCTAGATACTGTTGGAATTATTGTTTTGCCTAGAGAAAATATTGATGAAAAGATACCGTCCCCCGAATAATTTTCGAATTTATGTTGTTCGTGTTTTAGAATTAAACTCATCTTATTTTTAACTGAATTAACTTAACGAAGAAATTGTGGTCTGTTTTTCCAAAACAAGAGTTATCTCCCTTCTAGAAGTTTCTAGATTAAAACTATAAATAACATTATTTAAAACGAGGCTATAAAAAGAGGCTATTAAAAACCGGATGTTAAGCGAAACAAGGAAGTTATTCTGTATAAGGGTATTCTTAATATACTTTTTCGTTTAAGTTAATAATGAAATGTAGGGTGAATAGGTTCTTTTTTGGGTGGGGGTTGATGGAATGTGGGGTGTGTATATTTAACCGCCATATCTGACCTGCCATATATATATATAATCACATATACTACTTAGTACTGTTAGTCTTAGAGAGTTTTAGCATTGATAAAATTATAAGCATGAGCACTTATTATGTCTTCAAAATTTGTTTTTACAGAGGACAATTTCAGTCAAAAGACTTTTTTAGTTTGAAATTTCTGGGATTTTGACACATTTTTCCTAAATCAAGGGCTATAACTCAAAACTGTACATATCGAACGTTCGTCAAATTTGAAGTTGTCCAAGATCTCATCCAAATAAATGATCACACCAAATTTCATTAAAATCAGAAAAGATAGCTTGCCAGGCAAGGTAACATACGCCCACTGGCAGCTGTCAGAAATGATAAAACAGTCTATAGTGACTAAAGTATGAATTTTCTCATATTATAGAAATTTAAATAGTTTGAATTCATTGATATATATATTTACTGTCAGTTGTTTATGCTGAGAAATACCACCAAATTCTTAAAAATCAATATCAATAATCCAAACACATCAAATTATCGCATCAATATACGTGATCACACCATGTTTCATTAAAATCAATTGAAAACTGTAGTCTCTATTGTGTTCACAAACAAATTTGGATGCGTGTTTCCTAAATCAAGGGCAATAACTCAAAAACCGTTCATCGAAAGATCGTAAAATTCGAAGTTAACCAAGATCTCATCAATATGAATGATCGCACCAAATTTCATTAAAATCAGTTGAAAACTGTAGTCTCTATTGTGTTCACAAACAAATTTTGATGCGTTTTCCTAAGTCAAGGGCAATAACTCAAAAACCGATTGTCGAAAGATTGTCAAATTCGAACTTGACCAAGATCTCATCAATATAAATGATCACACCAAATTTCATTAAAATCAGTTGAAAACTGTAGTCTCTATTGTGTTCACAAACAAATTTTGACGCGTTTTTCTTAAGTCAAGGGCAATAACTCAAAAAACGTTCATCGAAAGATCGTCAACTTCAAACTTGACCAATATCTCATCAATATAAATGATCACAACAAATTTCATTAAAATCAGTTGAAAACTGTAGTCTCTATTGTGTTCACAAGAAATGTTGACGGACCAACTTACCAACGGACCGACAGACAGGGGCGAAGGCAATATACATCCACATTTCCATGTGGGCGTATTAGAACTGTAGTCTCTATAGTGTTCACAAGCATATTGCGGACGGACGGACGGACGGGGGTGAAGACAATATACGACCACATTAAAATGTGGGAGTATATAAAAATAAATAATTAATAAAAGTGAAAGAAAAGATAGCTTGCCAGGCAAGGTAATATACGCCCACTGATAGCTTTTCGATTTCCCTGATTTTTCTATAGGGTTTATCCTTGGGTGAATATGAACACTCATACCAAGTTTCGTCAAAATCAGTCAAGAATTGTGTCAAGAGTGTTTACGAGCTAAAAATTGAACGGTTTGCAAGAACAAGGGCAATAATTCATACTAAATATTTTTTGATTTCGCTGATTTTCAATAGGGTTTATCCTTGGGTGATTACGAACACTCATAACAAGTTCCGTTAAAATCCTTCAAGAATTGTGCCTTCTAGAGTGTTTACTAGCTAAAAATTGAACGCGTTTTCAATGACAAGGGCAATAATTCATACTAAATATTTTTTGATTTCGCTGATTTTCAATAGGGTTTATCCTTGGGTGATTACAAACACTCATACCAAGTTTCGTCAAAATCTGTCAAGAATTGTGCCTTCTAGAGTGTTTACGAGCTAAAAATTAACAAGGGCAATAATTCATGCTAAATATTTTTCGATTTCGCTGATTTTCAATAGGGTTTATCCTTGGTTGATTGCGAACACACATGCTTCGTTAAAGTTTCGTTAAAATCCGTCAAGAATTGTGCCCTGTAGAGTGTTTACGAGCAATTGTGGACGGACGGACGGACCGACAGACATGGGTGACGACAATATACGCCCCCCATTTAATGTGGGCGTATAATTAAAGACTTTTTCAAGAAGAGGGGCATTAACTCAAATAAAATATTTTTCGATCTAGCTTATAATCTTGGGTTATAATTAACAATTTCACCAATTTTCATCAAAATCCATCAAGAATTGTGCCTTACAATATTTCATGAGCTAATGTTGAAGGGCACTAACTCAATATATTTTTGTTTTTAGATTTTTAATAGTGTTCATCTTTGGGTGATGATAAACTATTTCGTTAAGTCTCGTCAAAATCTGTAATGAATTGTGAACGATCAATTGTGGATGGACATACTTGACATCAATTTACATTCCCGCTGTTATGGCAATTAGACACACATTTTGCATTCTGTATATAAAATTTTAAATTATAAAAAATATAACATACCAGTAGTTGAAGGAGGAGGTTCTGAAAAGTAATAATAATAATTAGTTTTCTGACAAAAATAGTGTTGAAATTTTAAGTTTTCTGTATGTTATTTTACACAAATGAGGGTTCCCCGATACGAAAGTTTAGTTTTTGTCATAAGTGAATTATTTTGTTTAAATTTTAATTTAATTCGCAATCAAAATGTCAATTCTTTAGTTTTCAGATCAATCAAACTAAAATTGTAAACTCCAGATTGCTCAAATTCAAATCATATTCAACAGAACTGCTAAACTCATGAGTGAAGACGTAGAAAAGCTTGGGGATCATTTCGACTGAAACCGATGGAAAAAGCTAAAAATAGATTCCTTGCTAACTCAATGACTAAAATAGATGTTGATAATCAAGCCACATTTTCATATAAAAAATTATTAGCTAACTAACTGTCTTAAAAGACATATTTGTATGTTATGGGTGATAAACAAATTCTCACACCAAGTTTTGTCAAAATCCATAAAGAAACCAGCTCTCTATGGTGTTCACAATAAATTGAACAGGTTTTCAAGAACAAGGGCAATAACTCACACTGTCCGAGGCAGAGTAAAGTATGATATTAAATTCATAAGCACCGCCAGATGTTTCACTTAGCACGAGTAGTTTCATAAATTCCAATTCAAAGCCGAAAGTAGAACAAAGAGAAGGCAGCTAACAGCCCGCGACAGAGGAGCCAAAATTACAGCGCTCGTATTGACTGTAATGTAATAGTGCACATGTCACAGTGTTTTTTTGTTTGAATAAAGAATTTTATCGCATCGTAATGCAGACCTCATTTGATAGAAAAGGAGAAAATTGTTTGGAGGAAATAAAAGTCATCCAAAGAAAAGTAGGCGGCGGCTAAGTTGTTAACCGGCTACTGTTGACACCACAACAGTCCCAAAGAATCCAGCTTGGGGATTTTTTATAATTTTAATGACTGTTCAAAATTCAAGACGACGACTGAGTATGGCATTTTTTTTTATCATAATTTCCCGCTATACAATGTAATGTATTGTCATATGTTTCCGGGTTACTGAACCCAATCCAGCTAGTTGAAGCTGACGGTCAAAATGTCCATGTTTCAGCATATTCAATTATATGTCATTTTTCCATTCAAGTCGAGTATATATTTCATAACAAAGCAAAACACACGGTAATATATGATTATCCTGGACAATTGGATATAAGTAGACTTGCTGACTATTAACAGTACAAATTGATTATGAAAAAATACTTCGTAAAAAAATACTTACCAATTGTACAGCTTGGTTTTGGAGTAGAAAGATCTAGTTCTATATCATCTACACAATACACTTTCTTACCAATATCATCTGTTGTTATACTCTTTATAGTAAAATTGAATGAATCAGTGTGTGGTGATACAACACTGTATAATGAACTGTTCCGTGGAACACAATTTTTAGATGTAACACAATATATTATACTATTGCTTGTATCACCCTGAAGAAATACATTTAATGCTTTGGTAAGAGTATCTGGTATATTAGTACACTGTAAATTGTATGGTTGTCCTACTACAGCCTCTGGTCTACAGTTGACACCAATATCTACAAGTAAAACATATTTTTACAAATAATAATTATCATAATTATCTTTTTGATTAAGAATTTCAAGATGGCTTTCCAGGCAATGTAATATACGCCCACTGGCAGCTTTGATTTGGAATATAAATATTTGGCAGTACAGTAACAATCACCAGTATGAGATATTACACTCCTCTTGAATTTTTTGGGGCGATACTGTAAAATTTTAATACGTTTTGTCAAAATCTGTAAAGAATTGGGCCTTCTCGAGTGTTTACAGGCTTGAATGCAATTTCAGAGCAAGAGCAATAAGTTAAACGAAATATTTTTCGATTCTTCTGATTTTCGATAGGGTTCATCCTTGGTTGGTAACACTTCTTATAAACTTTTTTGGTGATACTGAACGCCAAGTTTTTGCAAAATCTGTCAAGAATTGTGCCTTCAAGAGTGTTTTCGAGCTTCAAAGAGAATGTGTTTTCAAGAACAAGGGCAATAACTAATACTAATTATTCTTCTGATTTTTCTGATTTACAATAGGTTTCATCCTTGGCTGATAACAAACACTCACACCAAGTTTCATCAAAATATATCAATAATTGTGCCTTCTGAAGTGTTCAGAGGCTTAAACTTGAAGGCGTTTTCAAGAGCAAGGGAAATAGGTCATAATGAACATATTTCGATTTTTCTGATTTTCAATAGGATTCTGCCTTCGGTGATAACAAACTCTCACACCCAGTTTCGTGAAAATTTGTCAATAATTGCGCCTTCTAGAGTGTTTCTGATTTTCAATAGGGTTCATTCTTGAGTGATTACAGACACTCACACCAAGTTTCGTCAAAATCATTTATTTCATCAAAAATATTTCATGTGATCGACATTAATGTGCATGCGTCATAAGTAATCTGCCATTAATAAGTCTAAAATTTTTAGCTATATGAATGCCACACACAGACCTATGAGGGGCCCTCACATTTGATTTTTACAAATTTAACAAAAAATTTCTTTATGTTGAAATGGGGTTTTGAGACTAAGAAATAGAATTACATCACAGAATAAACACTAAACTAGAACTAACTTCAACACAATGCTCATATTTAACTCTCTACTCTTTACTGTACAAATCTATAATTTAAAAAAACAGAATAACATCATTTGATTATGCAAAATATTCACATTGTGACAAACTACTAACAATTTAAATATTTGTTAATTTTAAGAGATTATAAACGATTTTATTTCACTCCAAAGTCGAGCACCAGCTTTCTGTAGCATTACTCCTTTCTTGTTGATTCATTCATAAACAATGCTGGTATGCATACAAGATATATTCTTCAATTATGTTTTGTTATCAACTTGTTTCCTGATATTTCTAATTTATAAGATATGGCAAAAAAGTTTGTTAACCCAATGAAACTATGCACCCAAAATAATTCATGTTTAAAATGGCATTTTGGTCGAATAACATTAATTCTTTCTGGGTTAAACCTTTCCAAAATTTCATCAGAATACAAAATTATATAGAAGCATAAAGTTTTTGTTTAATCAAGAATAACTCAGTATGTAATAAAAGAATAAAATGAAAGTTGTATAAAAAGATTATTCTTTGACTATTTCATTTTATATTGTTACATTTCTGGAGACACAATAGTATTCATCCTTGGGTGATTACAAACACTTGAATTGTGCCTTCTGGAGTGTTCACGAGCTAAAAATTGAACATGTTTTTAAGAACAAAGACATTAACTCATACTTAATATTTTTCAGATTTTTCTGACTTACAATAGGGTTCATCCTTGGGTGATTACAAGCACTCATACCAAGTTTCTTCAAAATCAATCAAGAATTGTGCCTTCTAGAGTGTTCACAAGCATTTGATGGACGGACAGACAAACAGTAAACGCCCATTTCATCCATATTTACAAGCTACAAATTTAATGCCTTTTCAAGACCAAGGGCCACTAGAACTGTGGACAGTTCGGGGCGTGGAAACAAGACATTATCCCATTGATAACTTCTAGCCCGTTAGCTTTCAACTCTGTTGTTTTTAAGCCTAAACCGGAAATTAAAACTTTCGGGTATCTGATAAATAAATCAAGTATATACTAGAACTGTGAACAGCTCCAAGCGTGGCAACAAGACCTTATCCCATGGATTTCGAACCTTTTGAAACTTCTAGCCTTTCAACTCTGTTGCTTTTTAGCCAACAATTTGTCAAGCATATATTATTAAGTAACATGTTGGCCGCATTTTGCAGAAATTGCTATTCAGAGACCATTTTTCATCTGATTTGCATAACTTTTGTGTCAAACGATACGTTTCAAGTCCGTCTACAATCCTTGGGCAGCATAATTTTGATTTTCGGTTTTTCCTATTTTGTACGACCGGATGTTTTTTTTCAAAGTTTGAACTCGTATATCTCATGACCTTGACCTTTGATGACCTTCATATTTACTACGATGATAAGATGTGACCTTGTCTATCTGATGACCTTTTGACCTTTGGGGTCAGACAACTCTTTCCGATTTTACAGGGGTCTAAAAATGGACCATTTTGAGTCTTTACAGTGCTATATCTCGGTCCCAAAAAAAGAGACATGGCAATAATTCTTTCGATTTTGTAATGTAGATTTTCAGCTTTCCATAGATATATAACATGCATATCTTACATGCAAATTTAAAACCTCATTCACTTAACATGGGACTATTATTAGATAAATCGGCTAATTAGATTAACCTGGCTGTCAACCCCAATATAAATCAAAGTTTAAGTAGTTTTAAAGACACCCTCCCTTTTATATTTCTTTAAAATGTTTTGTGTCCATTTAAGCTATATAAATAGGTTCTAGGATGGATTGAACCTTGTTATACTGTAAGTAAAGCTTACAGAAGCACATTAAAGGCATACCCCCACTTAATTTCCCAACTTTCTTATTTTTTATCCAAATTTCACCAAACTTGGTAAGTATGTGTATAATCCAATTGTAAATTTGATGGATATATCGAATTTGCGTATTGCGCATGCGCATTACTAACTTTCTTATTTATTATCCGAATTTCATCAAACTTGGTATGCATGTGTATAATTGAAATCTAAATTTGATGGAATTATCGAATTTGCGTATTGCGCATGCCCATTGCCAACTTTCTTATTTACTAACCGATTTTCATCAAACTTGGAATGTATGTGTATAACCCAATTCTAAATTTGATGGAAATATTAATTTTTGTTGTGCACATGCGCATTACAAACTTTCTTATTTCTTATCCGAATTTCATCAAAATTGGTACATATGTGTATAATCCAATTCTAAATTTGATGGAAATATTAATTTTTGTTGTGCGCATGCACATTACCAACTTTCTTATTTCTTATCCGAATTTCACCAAACTTGGTATGTATGTGTACAATCCAATGCTAAATTTGATGGAAATATTGAATTTTTGTTGTGCGCATGCGCATTACAAACTTTCTTACTTCTTATCCGAATTTAATCAAACTTACTATGTATGTGTATAAACCAATTATAAATTCAATGGAAATAACCAAATTTTTGTTGTGTGCATGCGCATTACCAATTTTCTTATTTCTTATCCGGATTTCATGAAACTTGGTCTTTATTAATTGACAAACATTCTTTTATTCCTAGTCAATATACTTTAAACTCCAGGCACTTTTGGATATTTGCATTTAGAGATGCAGAAAAGTATTTACATCAATGTAATTGCAATAGACTATCTTCGTATGTACCTGAATGTCGTAACCCGCCCTGCATCAGTACTGTTATTAGAACAGTTCTAGTTTTGTAATTTGAGTTGTAATTAAGATCAATTTGCGAATTTACAGCTTTAAATGCTGGAATGTTTCAAATTTGAATGTAAAAATTTCGCAAAAAAATAAATAAATATTTTAAAGGTTAAAATATTACATAAAAATTGAATAAGTTTTCTAGAACAAGGGCAATAACTCATACTAAATATTTTTCGATTCCTCTGATTTTCAATAGGGTTCATCCTTGATGATTACGAACACAAAATCCGTCAGAATTGTGTCTTGTTGAGTGGACGAAGGACGGCCATGGGTGACGGCAATATACGCCCCCCATTTCATAAAAAGATTTTGGTGGATTCTAAATCCTGAAGTTGATGTTTGTTATATGTCAGATCTCTTACCTGCATCACTGACCGGGGGGAAACCGGTTTTGATTTGAAAAATCTGAAGGTATTATCTGAACCTATGCCGGGATTGAACCTTGGACCTTTTAAATCGGATAAGAACTGTAGTCTCTATCGCGTTTACAAGCCAATTGTGGAGCGATGGACCGACGGACGGACAGGGGGGGTGAAGACAATATACGACCACATTATAATGTGTTACAATAAAATAGAGAGACACAAACCATTTCGCAAAGTTTTTTACTGGTCCATTTTTTTAGTTCATCCAAGTAATGTGGATACTCTATAGCACAACACATGGGTAAACATTCAAAAAATAATCTGCTATAGAAAAAACTAATTAGTCCAACATGATTCAAGAGCACCAAAGGCCTCCTTCCTCAGGAACAGACACACATGAAATGTCAGTTGAAATTCAATGATTTCACTTTCATTGGTAGTTGTTAAGTAACATTTCAACATCCTTCTCATGGTTAGGAATCCAATAGTATGTTGGCATATAAAAAGGGAAATTTTGACCCGACAATCACCGATTTTGATGACATTTAACATACTTGTTTGTTATGTGAAAGTCAAATTTCAGCGAAAATGGATCAGGGGTCATGTCGAAGACTTCTCAAACTTGGCTTTTTGAACGCTTACCCCCAAACATCAAATGAGTATAGCTCTGTCAACTGTTGTCCTAAAGAGTTGTAAGAATTCCATTTCTGACATAAGATTTGGCCTATCTAAATTCAGGGAGCAATTATTCTTTTCAGTGACTTTTGGCCTTGACCATCAACCTGTGGGACTCCTGACCTTGACCTGACATACGAACAAAATCAAAGACTATGAAAAATCCAGAGAATGTATGGTTTTCAAATAATTTAACTTTTTCTGGCCAAGCGAAATTTTTCGTCGCAAAATAAAAGCATCTCTGGTTTTTTCGTATGTTGTAGGGTAGAGGTTAGTCTTTGATTTCGTTAGTACATCTGGTCAAGGTCAGGAGTCACCGAAAAGAATAATATTGCTCCCTGAATTCAGATAGGACAAATCTTATGTCAGAAAAAGCATCTATGGCATTATTCCTTTCTAATAACAGGTCTTTAGGACCAGAGGTGATGTTTGGGGGATAAGCAAAATTAATTGTCGAAAAGCCAAAAGTTTGAGAAGTCATATCTTCATGAACCCTGACCCAATTTTTATGAAATTTGGAATTGGTGGTTTTCCCATCATAACCAACATTTCTGTTAAGTTTCATCAAAATAGCTGACATGTAATGAAGCAGTCTTGAAAAGGCGAATCGTCAAGGTGATTTTTGAACACAGATAATTATGGATACACATGGCTAAGAAGGCTAAAAGAAAGCTGTCTAAAGCTTAGCTGAACAATTCTCAATGCTGTTAAGATGTTTTGACATTTTTTTCCTTTTGGAAAGGTTACAATTCTTTGCTTTGTTACTGTCTTACAGTCAAATTTCAACCAATAGCATTAGCCAACCCTGAACCTACCTGCCAGACAGGTTGGGAGTAAAAAATTTAAACTTACCTCCTCTTACAGTGTCCGTATAAAATAAAACCAAAGAAAACATAACAGGGAAACAAAAGTGCAATTGTGCCAACATTTTAAGGTTAACTCTTGTCTGAAACAAACATAAATATATACATAATATATATATAGTTCTGATAAAGCTTGGTAAATATATCAAATATTATGTTTAAGAAAGCTTGTCAGGCAATGTATTGCTTGCCAACAAATTTCAACACGTTTTAACAAAGTCAAGGGCAATAACTCAAAAACCGTTTATCGAAAATGCGTCAAGTTAGAACTTGCCCGAGATCTTATCAATTCCAATGATCACACCAAGTTTCATCAGAATCGGTTGAAAACTGTAGCTTCAATCCTGCTCACGAACTATTTTTAACAAATATTGACGCGTTTTTACAAAGTCAAGGGCAATAACTCAAAAACCGTTCATCGAAAATGCGTCAAGTTAGAACTTGTCCGAGATCTTATAAATTCCAATGATCACACCAAGTTTCATCAGAATCAGTTGAAAACTGTAGCGTCAATCCTGCTCACAATCTATTTTTAACAAATTTTGACGCGTTTCTACAAAGTCAAGGGCAATAACTCAAAAACCGTTCATCGAAAATGCGTCAAGTTAGAACTTGTCCGAGATCTTATCAATTCCAATTATCACACTAAGTTTCATCAGAATCAGTTGAAAACTGTAGCGTCAATCCTGCTCATGATCTATTTTTAACAAATTTTGACGCGTTTTTACAAAGTCAAGGGCAATAACTCAAAAACTGTTCATCGAAAATGCATCAAGTTAGAACTTGTCCGAGATCTTATCAATTCCAATGATTACACCAAGTTTCATCAAAATCGGTTGAAAACTGTATCTTCAATCCTGCTCACGAACTATTTTTAACAAATTTCAACACGTTTTAACAAAGTCAAGGGCAATAACTCAAAGATAGCTTGTGTTGCAAGGTAACATATGCCCACTGGCAGCTGTTAGAAATAATAAAACAGTCTTTAGGGACTAAAGTACGAATTTTCTCATATTGAAGAAATTATTTATGCTGAATAATTCCACAAAATTTTTAAAATCAATTATCAATAACCCAAATACAACAAACAATTAAATCACACAGCTCTAATCAAGGGCAAAAAACAACTTTTGACGCGTGTTTACAAAGTCGAGGGCAATAACTCAAAAAATGTTCATCAAAAATATCTCGTTAGAACTTGTCTGAGATCTTATCAATTCCAATGATCACACCAAGTTTCATCAGAATCGGTTGAAAACTGTAGCTTCTATTGTGCTTACGAACAAATTTTGACGCGTTTTTACAAAGTCAAGGGCAATAACTCAAAAACCGTTTATTGAAAATGCATCAAATTAGAACTTGTCCGAGATCTTATCAATTCCAATGATCACACCAAGTTTCATCAGAATCGGTTGAAAACTGTAGCTTCAATCCTGCTCACAAACTATTTTCAACAAATTTCAACACGTTTTAACAAAGTCAAGGGCAATAACTCAAAAACCGTTCATCAGAAATGCGTCTAGTTAGAACTTGTCCGAGATCTTATCAATTCCAATGATCACACCAAGTTTCATTAGAATCGGCTAAAAACTGTAGCTTCAATCCTGCTCACAAACTATTTTTAACAAATTTCAACACGTTTTAACAAAGTCAAGGGCAATAACTCAAAAACCGTTCATCGAAAATGCGTCAAGTTAGACCTTGACCGAGATCTTATGAATTCCAATGATCACACC